CCCTTAACCTTTATAAATAATTCAGTCTACGCCCTCAAAACTTATTATAAACTATATTCGTGGTAAAACCTACCTTCTAGAGTATAGTTTGTAATAATACATGAAAAATTAATATGAATTGAAAAAGTAAATCTTAAATTTAGAATAAATATAATATTTAAAAGGATATTTATAAACTTAGAATTTAAATATAATAAGATAATTAAATAAAAATAATTCAAATTATGTGATAAATTATAGAGTGAAAGAAAAAGAAAGTTTTTTTATAACTAAAGAAAAATTATTAAATTAAAGAAATTTATGTTACTATGGTAATAATATTTTGGTTAATCACATATTTTTTTTATCTGAAAAATATAGATAGTGAATACTCTTTACTTTAAATAAGTCAAGTATATTTTATTTGATTTATAGAAATTCTTGTAAGCTTTTCTATATATAAAAGCTTTGATTTATTTTTGATATATATTCTTTATTTATCTAATAGTTAAAAAGATATTGTTAAAGAGTTTAGTTAGCATACTAAATTTTTTGTTTTAATTATAGTTTTATTACTTTAGTTTTAGATATCTATTTTTAGTTTAGTTTTTATAATTATAATTTTCTATTTATTTTATTTTATTTTTATCTTATATTAATATAATACTTATAAGTATTAGCACTAGAAAATCTTTAAAATAATTATAATCTCCTTTATCTTTATAAATAATTTAGTCTTAATTCTTAACACTTATTATAAATTATATTCCTTGTAAAATTTATCTTCACAAATATAGTTTGTAATAATAATATTATTATTTCTCTAATTTATGATTAAATTAATATGAAATAATCAAGATTTATCTAGAATAAGATCATATCTTTGCAACTTTAATACTTGTATATCTATTTTGTATAATTTATAAGTATCTAGCTTTAACTTATCAACCTTTGTCATGATGATGATAATAATCTTCTTGTTATCTGTGAGTTCAATTATAACTGGTATTATTTTCTATAACTTAACTTTGTTATTTTATACAAATTTTTCATTAATAAAGTTTCTTGATATGCCACTGTCTAGTAATACTCATGCTGATTTACTAGTTACTTAGCTATTGAATTTTAACAATCTTTCTCTATTATCTTTTAAATAAGTAAATTTTACTCTTTTATATAATTAAGAAAATTCTTCTTATTTATTTTTTATATTTGCAATTTTGGTTTTTGATTTTGAATAATAATTTTTGACAAAATGACCAAAGAAGAATTATTGATACTATTATAAATACAGGATTGCACTAATTTATAATAAAGACTCTAACAATAACAAAACTAAATATATCAATCAATAACAAATCAAAATACCAGAATTGTACTATTTTATAATTGAAACTTTCAATTCTAAAATTAAGAAACTCAAATAATGTAAATTTAAATAACAAATCAAATACTGTATAATTACATATCTTTGAAAATAATTGTGTTAGTGTGGAATGTGTGTGTTATTTTGATAGCAGTTTAAGCATATATTTGACAAATTTTTTATAAAAACAATGTGCACCTGAACTAAAGCAAATGAAATAAAGATGTATATCTGCATATGTGATGATTTGCTATTTTCACATGAATAATTTCATGTATGTCCTCTTTGGGACTTAATATCTCAAGACCCTGCGTCAGAAATCGAATGCAAAGTTCACGAGCTAATTCATAGGATGATATGTTTACATTTGATTTCTATCATTGGGCCTCGAGATATTAAGTCCCAAAGAGGTCGAATATGGAATTTAAATTTATAATGCAGCGAATGATTTTATGCATGTCCTTATTCGGGCTCAATATCTCGAGATCCGGTGGTGAGAATCGAGTGTAAAGCATACCATCCGATTCCTAGGTTCTGGTGAATCGAATGATGGACTTCATATTCGATCTCCGCCACTGGGTTTCGAGATACTGAGCTCCAACAAAATTGTTCGTTAAAGCTTAAATCAAAGTTTCACGTATGGCCTCTTTGGAGACTTAATATCTCGAGATCCAATGGCGGAAATCGAGTATAAGGCCTACCTTCGATTTCTTTGGTTCTGATGAATCGAATGGTGGATTTTGTATGCGATTCTCATCACTGGATCTCGAGATATTAAGCCTTCAAAGAGGGTATACATGATATTATTCATGGTAAAAATAGCAAATCACTATGATAATTCAATTTCCTGTTACGTGATACAACCATGGTGCAAATAACAGTTCACTAAACTATAACAATTAATAAATATTGCGTTAGAGTATTCCAAAACAATCAACGTCCAAATTAGATTTGGATTTAGCAATACATGTAATTAGAGCATTTCCCAACAAATATGATAATGACAAGTAGAACTTTGTTTGACGACTTTCCGATCAACCACACAATAATAATTATAGTGAATTTACATTGTTTGGAACACTTTTATGCGTTGTTTGGTACATTTGGTTAGAATAGTTTTAATATAGCCTTTCGCCCAATGTTCAAAATAGACTGGAACATATACCAAAACATGACGTATATATAGGCGCCTTAATTAAATCAAGTTATAATAAAGTACAAAGTAATTGAAACAGCATTAACTCTAGCTTGTATTATTGACTTCGGATTTTGTCGCTTTTACCTGAAGAAAGTCATTGATCGATTCCCCTTGTAGAATAGTCTAACCGTAAAGAAATCTTGTTTGATAGAACAACTGAAAATGAAAATTTCCTTCAACATTAAAAAAGTCTATTGTTAAAATTAAACTCACAATCTTCTTTATTAACCAATAAAGCCTCTTATTGAATCAAACACTCACCTTTAATAGCAACAGTATCCGTAGTACTGGAACAATTCCTCTAGAAATTCGGTAGAAAGACCCTCTTATATAGAAGAAACACCAGTTTAATCCCCCACAAACGTTTAATTCTATCCATCTTTGAAACCCAATAATAGGCATAACAATATACATGTACATGTACATCTTGTGTTGTTTGCAAACGATTTTAATTTTCCGCAACTAAAATCTTATATGTATATACAAATTCCGCATGTAAAGTTTAGAATTTTCACATATAAATTTTGATTATATACACTTACATACGCAACTAAAATTTGTATCTCGCAAATAAATTTATTTATCCGAAACCGAAAATTATGCTTTAGACATCATGTTAACTATTATTCAAAATACATACTCAAACAGAAACGTCCTCAAGAGCAAAGCATGTAAATATTCAATTAATTTGAAAGAAGTTTGCAGCATACATTTGGAATCGTAAAAATACCATTTATTACAAAGATTCCGACGATATTCATACATGTATAGAGAAAGAGAACTGCGTTTTTTTTATTGAAGTGATGGAATGCACATATTGTAATTTTAAAAAAAATTTTAATGCTGATTCAATAATATCTAACTTTGAACAAAGGATAAAGACATTACAACTACAAATTTTTGCAAAATCTTAGTCATAATCCATACATATTTTGAGAATGAACGCCAAGTTTAAGAGCTACCTTCTTTTTAAGCACGTCTGCATCTACATGAGGTTCGGGTGCACATTTTACAATATTTTGGCTTTAGGTTCAGGTGCACGTTTTGCGATAGCTTTGGCTTTAGGTCGAAGTGCACGTTTTGCGATAGCTTTGGCTTTAGGTTCAGGTGCACGTTTTACGATAGCTTTGGCTTTAGGTTCAGGTGCGCGTTTTACGATAGCCTTGGCTTTAGGTTCAGACACGTATGTTTTTATAAAGTTTCAATTATCTTATTTGAAAATGTCAAATACATACATTGTTAGCAAAATAATAATAAAAAATACACACCGTCCGCACTAACATAATTATTTTCAAAGATAACAAGTAACACCAAAAAGCATAAAAGAATCTTTATAGCAGACTTCATGGTTTTTTTTTTAATTCTCATTAGCGTTAACTTGCGTGTTATTTATTAGAAATTGATTATGATACGATTATTATAGATGTTTCGTAAAACAATATACATGTAGTTACAATACATGCATTAGTGCAATATCATTTTTATTTACATGTGAAATCAAATGCATTTAAAAAAGAACCTTGATTATCTTTAAACTCAATATACGTATATTATATTCATCGAGATTCTATGTTTATTGATTATCTAATATAAATTTTTGATTAGATTACCCCAACGTAATCAGAAAAAATTTTACGGCTGTACACAGTAACTCTCAGTGTAACAAAAAAATTTGGATATTATCCACTATATCACGAGTTTAACTAGTCTCCACTATAAAGGAGGTACACTATAAAGAGAGCCACCGTGTACTTTGGATCGGATGATCTGCATCTGCAAACAAATGTAATTTTTAAGGGGGGTAAAACAAATTAAATCGCAATGTACAAGGTAAACTCGATAAGACGATGGTCGGGGGCATAGATAATTTATTCGGCTTATCGAGATTTTCGTTTTACTAAATTTCGCACTAAGCCGAATTTATATATAATAAAAAATTTGGTAAACCAGAAAAACTTCGTCTTAATGCAATTTCGGCTTAGCGTGGCTTCGTCTTAACGAGTTTGCCTTTGTATTAGTATAGTATAAAAAATTTAATTCAAATTCACAATGTAATTTTTTAAAAACAGTCAATAATTTACAAACCTTGAAGTTAAATTAAGGTATAATCTTTTACTATACAGAGCGCTTTATGGTAATTACTATGAAGATAAGGGTTAGGATCGGTTTTGAGGACAAATAACGTTTGTTGTGATTTTTTTCGTTACACATTACACATTATTCTTGGTTTGTCACTTGATATTGTTTTAATATCCGATCCTCCGAAATCTCCGATCTAAAATCACCATGAAATTTTTCTGGCTACGTTGGGGCTGGGCCGACGATTTTCTGTGGTGTTAAAAACTGGATTATGTGATGCCAAAAACTGAATTTTGTGAAGTGAATACTTTTTTTGAAATTCTGTGCAATTATGTGGTGTTAAATTCTTGATCATGTGTTATAATGTGATAATAAACCTAAATTATAAGAGAAATTATTTAACATTAATAAATATATTATTTAAAAGTGAACGTAAAAAATAAATTGTGAGTTGCTTGCGATAAAAAAATAAATATAAAAAATAAATCGTATTTCTAAACTCTATTAAAATACATCATCGATAATTTTTTCAATGATTATTTGGATAAACTTTGCCTATTATCATCTAAAATTGTCTTGCATAATGAAAAATTACATTCAACATTGCAACTCAAAAATAGGTATCAAATATAATCTAGTGCTATATTGGAAAGAATAGGAAATTTTGCACTTAAATTTAACAAAAATTGATTTAAATTCATGTCATATTCTATAATAGTTTGCAGATTATAATAGATTGACCACTTATAAATTAAATTATCCGATGGATTTTCAAGTACATGTACTTTGATAATAGAATAATGACGAATATCCTTTCTGAGAATATCATTAATGAAAAAATAAGTGAAATTAAATACGTGGCAGGCTTGAAATAAACTGCGAGTTGGATGATGTGTTATATGTTTTGCAAATTTTTCATAAGCTACCTATAAGACATTACAAAAAATTAAATAAAAATCTGATAGATTAAATTCCAAATTAATAATATAAGTTTCGAGTTCTGATCCAAAATTTTGGGCTTGTTGATTTGTTTCAATATATGTAAAAAGTGGTTCTAATCAATTTTTCATGAAAGGAAATATAGATTTATTTTGTTATTGAAAAAGTTCAAATCTTGAACAAACTCTTTTGCATATATAAAAATAAAATTAATATAGATTTTGATAATATTATATTCTCTTTCACCTTGTAGAATTGCTGATAAACTCGCATATTTTCTAACTATAGCTATTTCTTGAAAAAAATTTGGGCCAATATTCTATATGAATCTTTGAACAAAAAATCGTTTAGAATTATAAACTCCATTGTGTTTTGTTTTGAAGTGGAATTTTACATGGATTTATTATTCTATGCATTTTTAAATGAGTTAAATATTTGATCTCTTTATATTGATAATTAGTAAATAAAAAAATATTATACAGTAATATATCAATATTATATAAAATAAATATTTAATTAAATTAAGAATATAAGCATAACAAGATATTTATATAAGTTATAATATTAATAATGCTAATATCTCTCAATAATATTTTTATATATCTAGCTAAATCAGATAAAAAAGATGAGAAGCATTAAAAGAAATATTATAATAAGAAAAAAGTTTGATTTATTATAATATTATTGATATGTTCAAGAAAATTAACAGAAATAAGCTTAGTAAAATTTCGAAATACAAAAAGTGCATTACAAGTATAGTTATCAGTTGTTTTATTCATAATAATAGAAACAGATTTCATATTGAAAAATAATTTTGATATCTTTTAAAGATCCAGAATAAATAAACTTATTTTAAAGTTATAGCTTGAGATATTATATTGCTATATTTAAGATATTTTTTAAGAATAAAAATAGATAATTTGTTTTTTCAAGTGAAATATTTGTAATATAAATTCTGTGATTATATATTCAATTATTTTATTTTTTACAAGACATAAACTAGTATAGATACTTGTTTTTTATATATTCTTGAGCTTATAACAAATTTATTTAACTTATACTTAATATAATAATTATTAACTATTAAATTAGATTTTTATTTTAAAAATTTATTATAATATTTATATATTAAAGTATTAATATCAATATAAGAAGTTCTGAATATTTATTAATTTGAATTTGTATTATATCTTTTTTTAAATATTATATAAACTATCTATAAAAGTTTTAATTAATATAATAATTAATTATTTATCAAGTTTTAATATTTTATATAATTAATTTTATATTCTATAATATTCAATTAGCATTCTATAATTAGAATTAATCATGAATTTTATGAATTAAATATAATTTATAATTTATAAAATTCTATAAAATTTTATAATATAATAAATTAGATTTTATAATATATAGTAATAACCAAAAGTAATGACTCAGAGACTAAATTTATTAATAAAATATAGTGAAAATCAAAATTTTCTCTCTATATTAAAATTTATAATTTTATTAAGAAATAAATTTTTATTTTTATATTAAAATAAATTTTATTAGTTGTAGTTTAACATATATTTTTTCAGATTTTTTAGGTTTTTTCTGAAAGAGTTGCTTTAATTGTAAAGTTAATATAAAAATTTTTACTAATTAAAAATGAAATTTAATTAATAAATATTTTTGCATTAACTTTATAATCAAAGTAACTTTTTCAAAAAAATCTAAAAAATCTGAAAAAAATATATGTAAACTATAACTAATAAAATTTATTTTAATATAAAAATAAAAATTTATTTCTTAATAAAATTATAAATTTTAATATAGAGAAAAAATTTTAATTTTCACTATTTTTTATTAATAAATTTAGCTTCTAAGTTATTACTTTTGATTGCTATTGAAGATAAATTTTTTCAATTTTATAATATTATATGAATACAAAAAAATTATTAATCTTATCTATATTTAAATTATTATTATATTTATTTATAATTAAATTTAAAATCAAAAATAACTAATTAAATATTTAAAATTATTTTTAGAATATCAAACTTTTATCTATAAATTCAATAATTCTAAAATTAAATAAAATAATATTTATTATATTTATTTAAATTCTTTAATTTATAATTAAATTAAAAATTTTCAGTTTTAAATCTGAATTAATTAAATATATATAAATAATCAAGAAAAATCTTAATAATTACTAAATATTATATTAATTATTTAATACTTTATTTTTTATTATTAAAATCTTGTATTATTAAGAAAAACTACTTTTATTTATATATTTTTGAAAATATAAAATTTTAATATAAAAATAAATAAATTATATTATATAATTACTAAAAAGAAAAAGATGTAATAATTAATAGAAATATAATTTAATAAAATATAATAAAAATTAATAATTTTAATCTTTTTAATTAAATATAAAAAAATAATATAGATTAAAATATAAATATATATAATATATTTAATTTAATAAATTATTTCTAAATTAAATAAATATTTAAAAAAGAATTTAATATAAATTAAATATAAAATATATAAATTAGATATAAATTTATATTAGAAATTTAAAATACTAGTAAAATTATAAAGATTTTTATATCTAGTAAAAAATAGCAAAGAAAAAACTAATTTAAAGAATATAAATATCTTTATATTAAATTTAATAATTTTGATATTATTAGAAAGATTTAGCTAAGTTATATTTAAGAATATTTGTAAGATTATTTTGTTAATGTTTGTAAACAAGATAAAATGCGATATGAATAAGTTTTAATTTTATAACTTATGAT